ATGAGCTTTGGTCTGCTCCCATCTTTCCATTAAAATCTATTTCATATATTCCATTGAGCTATATCTTCTTGGAGAATTTGCAGATACTTTTTGAATAGTGAAAGAATGCCTGATTCACAAATCAGTTATAAGAGAGCTCAATTTTCATTTTCTAGGAGTGTTCAAACTCACCCGATTAGGGTCTATACCATTGACCTGGCGAAGCTGCTCGAGCATCCACTGCGTTCTCCTGACAAAAGATGTAGAGCCTTCAAATTGCTTCACCTTTGTAATAGATGCTTGGGCTGGTTTCTTGTTTGTCACTGAACATATAAAAGAGAAAACATATAACTGAAATGGGATGATGTTTCTGGAACATGCCATTTAGTTCACTGTATCAGTAGCAGTTTTGCTAGTGTATTTTCTATAATATCCCACAAAGTAAATACATGTCACTGGTTCTGACAGTAGAACTCATTCCCTTTCCTGGATAACATACTGAAAAGCACATTCCTTATTGTCAGGATGATGGTACAATGCCAAACAAGCATTATAGTACTCAAAATTGGATATGTTTTAGCCATTATCAACTTAAGTTGGCAACATCCTGTAAAAAAAAAAAAACAGAGCTAAACTGAAGGTCTTTCCATCTGCATTCTTACTACCACCTTACTGTTCTCTTTTCCCCACACTAATTAGCAGAGCTTTCTCATACCCAGACTCTTATTCATTTCTCTCTTCTTGTCATTTCAAACAAGAGAACACAAAAAAAGAAAGAAAAAGGCATCTCCATGTAAGTCCATTTATGTACCTTTTTTTTTAAAAGGTTACTTTAGACAGACTTTCATGTTGGTGATTAATTGGAAAAAACAGAGGTTTCTCCAATCTTTTCACATGTCACATGTAGGTCATGCTTGTATAACACCACCACCATCTAATGACAATTAATTCCCAATTCCCAGTTTCCAGTTGGCAGACATGCACTTACGGCACTGAGAAAGTAAGCCTACCCAATCAGACAACAGTCTGTGAAAAATAGTCATAAGCAGTAACTAAAGATCACCCCCCCTCCAAATATTAGGTACCACAAAGACCATAAATAAGAATGATCTTACTTTTTATAAACAAAATATATATTAAACCCCACAAAGTCAGTCATGCAAGACAGCTCTGCTTGGGGGGGGGAAGGGGGAGAAGCAATATAAAACACTCCAATTAGCGTATCCTTCGCTCTGCATCAGGTTTTCAAAGACTACTTAAACATTAAAGCTAACTTTTCAACAGCAGGAAAACTGGCTTCCAGTATTAGATTTTTTTTTCTCTAAACAAACAAATTTTCTTTTCATCAGTCTAACTTTTAACCTCCATGAAAGTTTTATAAGCAGTTTTAGGCATTTTCTATAGGCATACCCTGTATTTTATTTACTTGTTATTTATCTGTTGCTATATGTTGTCACTTCCAAACACATTTTCACTTTCTGTGAAGAAATAATTTGTAGAATCATTGTACTGCACAATCTATTAAAGCTGGCATACCATTTATTTTACTCCTTAAACTCATTATTTCCGAAAATCCTTTTATTCATATGGTCCTCCAAAAAGAGTATTATCGGAAAAGTCACTTTTCTCTGCTTTTAGATGCTGGCAGTTGAAGAAGACTTTTAAAATAATCAAGACTTGAATAGCAAGATAGCTTATTTTTGTGCACTCCCTTTACCCAAATAATCAGGTGGCTTCCTACTCTGAAGATGCATGCTGCATACGCTTCTGCACTCAGGGTCACAATTGTACAGTAAGTAAACATTGATGTAATACCTTATTCAGTAAAGTTAAAAAGTTACTACAGTTTCTTAGGATGAAAATTTACCACTGCACAGATCACTGTCTTGATGTTAAATATACTTTGGAATAGATCAGCAAATTCTGATTAATACAAGAATTTCTTTTCAATCTCTCAGGTTTACACATTTTCAGTTCAGTGTGTGTCTCTGCATGTGAAAAGTCCAAGCACCCTTATAAGAACTTAATTTAATAAACAGAAAATTCATTTCCAAGGAAATTTTAGTAAGTAAAAAAAATTTAAAAATCAGATACTAACATTTCACATGGCAGATAATTGTTTTTAAGAAGTTACTTTAGAATAGAAAGCATAACTGGACTCAATATATTGACTAGACTATTGATAAGAATGCAATGCTGTAAGTCTCTTAATCAGCAGGTGAAGCAGTGAGAACCAAACTGGTGCAGTATATGATCCAGAACTGCACATCAAATGGTATAGAACAGAGAAAATCAATGTAGTATCAGAAAGGCAGCAGCAAAATTAGATCAGAACAACTACTGAAATGTAATGACTGAGTATTACCAAGAAGTGAGATTAGTATTAGAGATTCATTGATTGCTCAATGCCCTATGCACTCAAGCCTGACAATATCAATGGAGCAGAGGTGACAAGCATCCTATCTATACTTACATGGTATATATAGGTTCTGTTTTTATTGCAAGATTACACACTACTGAGTGGGAAACAAATTCAAAAGTTACACAAGCAGACCACAAACTCATGTCTTACCTTCCCTGAATTCACCCCTTCTAATATCTACTCACGTCTTTTTTGCCACCCCCAGTGACCACTTTGGCAGACTCCGTAGCACTCCAGCTGGACCAAGTCTCACATATTTTCTACAAAGCAGTACTAATAGAACGCTATCTAACAGTGGCTCAAGATTTGTGGTCTGTGGATTATTCCCCTTCCATGTAAAACAGCCAACAATCTGAATGAGCCATGTATAAAAAAAAAGTGTATACTATACATAAGCCACATATAGAATTAAAACTAGTAGCATTGCCAAACAAAGCATTCGAAACCAGGAAGCACTAGATGGAATAATTATGTGACCAAATGCTATTTTTACCCCCTCAGAATCGCATGGATAATCAATTATGAGATGTATAGCCTTAAACTTTAATACAGTAAACTCACTGCTCTGAAGGTTTCTACATGGCATACATTCTAGTGCTTTTAAAAACAGGGTCCATTTCAAGGTGAAAATATAAAATTTTACAAATATTATAGTTAAACACTAAATGTCTAATCTCAACATCTCCATAAATTGTTGGGCTGATTTGACATATCCAAAATCTAATTCTCCAAACTCCTCTGCAGCTTTGTCTTCGGCCGGAGCCATCAATACTCTCTACTTTGGCAAAAGATGTTCACATTAAGCACCTAAACTTCATAAACTCTTGAAAATCCCTATTAACGATCAACTGTAAAAACATCTTGATTAGACGACTGTCTCCATATCATCCACCACGCAGTAACTCTGGGAGAGGCTGAGAGGGCTCTACTACAGAAGACCTTATAAGGGTCTTGGGTCTCTTGTAATCCTGGACAGAAATTCAGTCTCAAGTTAGCTGATGTGATCCTCTTGGAAAAACGGCAGTTCTCCCTTTAGGTCTCACACTTGTAATTACTGTGCACAGCCAAACAGATCTAGTTGCATGTCACCTTTTGTGTCTCGGTATTTTAGGAAAAAGCTAGCATTTCTAGAACATTCAAAAAAAACTGCTGCTAGCCACGAACCCACCGAACTTGCTTTAAAACCTTCATTTAGTCCATGACAGCTTGACAGTAGTATGGCAGTCATTACAACTCTGCAAAACCCTTTGGCAGCTGGGAAAACCATCCTCACTAGCTGCTCATTATGTTGCTTTGCAAACTAGAGCGCTTCCACACAAACCACTGCGTGGGTGTTACCTTGCAAACATGTAAAAAGGCTTTTCTTAAATCTGAAAAAAATTGGAAGCAATTACATGCTTCTAGCCACATTCCCTCTCTAACGAGTCATTCCAACATGTTCCCTAAAATTTTCCACAATAATTATTCTCCTTAATAAAATAAAATACAATGTTTAAGTTATACTTCAATTTTAGGTGGGGTTTTCTGTTTGCTGCTTTTTTTTTTTTTTAACAGAACTTAAAGTATGCCTTCAAAATATGAAGCTGTAGTAGTGCGGACAAAGCACATTTATTTGGAATCCATCAGTAGATGGTAGGTCCATATGGTAATTTCTGTGTGTCATCAGATACAATAAAATAAGCTTTTTAATTTTTTTTTTTAAAGGAACATGCAGTTGGTAAAGTAAGAAAGAATGTATGAGAAGTAAGCTACAGCAATTTATCAATTGATAATGGAAGACATTGTGAGGGTTTTTTTTGTTTGTTTATTTGTTTTTTTTAACACTAGATTAATATACAACCACTAGTCTCCGAGTCAGAAACAGCACTATTTCTTCTGGGATTGAAGACATTAATAATCATTTTGCATCTTAAATAAAAATATGTTATAGTATTAAGTTTCAAAGAGGTTGTTAAAGCTTGAGATCACACGCATTTAAGTAAAAAACTCTGTTTCAAAAGCAGATCGGAGAATATGAAGCAGAAATAGTCAGATTGGAATTAGCTTTAGAGAATGCTGTGACAGAGTCAGGAAAGTCACTGTTCTCATCATTTAGAACACATGGAAACAAACTTATTTGAATTCCAGACCTTAACTAGAATCCAGTACCATGTGCATGTTTAGCATCTATAGCAGCAAATCAATACAGCTCTTCACACAGAAAGCTAAAGGAGACTAAAGTCACAGCCCAACTTCATCTCATCTGCAGTCCAGAATATATTTTCTTAATTTTTTCAGTCTTCTAAAGTATCTTTATTTGAATGGAAAAGATAAAATAATGAAAAATGGTTAATTCCTTAAATACCTAACCCCAAAGCTTTCAACCACAGCACTATGAACTTCTATTGTTTTATCAGATTTGAAATGCATATTTAAAAAGCAGTGTCTGTCCTTGAAGTCTTGTATCTGAATACCTGATTTTGTTTTGGACATTTTAAAATTTGGATCTGTGTATTTAATAACTTAAAATCTAGGTAAGTAGGAATCTTAAGACAAATGGCTTAATTGCCTCACAGAATTTTTAGTCATATCGCAGTGTATTTCTAAAGTGCTGAATGACTGAAATAACTACTGAAAGGAGAAATTAAAAAGTACAAAGTCTTGAAGCAGGCAGTGACTACTGCAACTATTCATATTAGAACAAGCATTTCTTTTTTTTATCTGAGCACCACCCAGATTAATAAATTAAGCAGCCTTAACTTTTGTTGCTGTTGTGTCACTAGCTCTTGAGGGGGAAAAAAGAAATAGTGCAAATGAAGTAAAAAAATTTAAGCAAATTACTTTCATCTATGAGATTTTTTCATTTGTGAAAGTGACAGACTCACTCACTCCTGAGTGGGCCTGCAGAAGTCTACTGAAGGC